GGGGGGGGATGTGGATGGAAAAGTAACATAACGAAACGTCGATCCCATTACCTGGAGCCTCAACCCAACCTCTTCGTCCCACTAATACACACACACGCACACTTATATACAATGTTCCTTTCAACCCTTAATCCAAGGAGGATTAGAAAACCCCATTGTCATGCTTCGCGGAAACGCAGTCGTTGGGTGTAGTTGTGTCTGTGTGGGAATGGAGAACGGAAGATTGCTCTGAACGGAGAGTGGTATATTCAACTGCGATTACAGACTCGAAGAGATACATACCGTCACGGAGAGGTTTTTTTTTGGAAATTTGATGAAAGATTTTGGTGACAAATTTAGAGAGGTTTGGCGAAAGGTTGCAGGGGGGGGGGGNGCGAAAGGTTGCGGGGGGGGGGTGCGAGGCGAATGGACTTTCAATTTTCGTATGAAATTCGATTATTTGAAGATATTGATTATGGCGTTCAGCGATAGAATATGAAGTTAATGGGATACTTTATTTTTACGTAGGTGTTTAATTTTTTATGTGAAAATTCTTAAGACTGAAAGGAAAATATTTAGAATGTATTTTTAAATTTCTAGTCAACCGCTTCATTTCTTACTGATTGAAACAATTAGAGTGTGTTTTTTTCTCAGCGAAATAAAGAGGCGGTTTGATAAAAATGATCAATTGACAATAAAAAGACTAGACGAATGTTCAAATAATCTACTTGAAAAATATGAACGTAATAGTTCAGTAAATATAAATCAGCGTCTCAAGTTTTAAATTATTAAAACTTTCCTTCATCTCAAACTCGTTATAATTGTAAAAAATTTGGTACGAATTATTCAGTTCTTTTTTTAATGCATAATGCGACCAAATAGTCGAACATGGGATTATCCTTGCCACCTGTATATACACTTGAAGAACCTCATTAAATCTATTAACTAGCCAAAAATAATTCACCCATTATTTATTCAACCTGAAACAGATTCAACTGAAATGAAAATTTATCTTCAAGTGATTCAGAAATAAAGACACTATTTGATAAAAATGATCAATTGCCAATCTAAAAAAAATAGAGAAATGCTTAAATATTCTGCATCAAAAATATAAAGAAAACATTTGATTGAGCATAAATCAGTGTCTCAAGTTTCAAATTATTAAAACGTTGCTTCATCTCAAACTCATTACAATTTACAAAATTTCAGTACGAATTGTTCATTTCTTTTTTTAACGTAGAATACGACCGAATGGTCGAACATGGGATTATCCTTGCCACCTGTATATACACTTGAAGTACCTAATTAAATCTATTTATTAACTACACTGTTAGAAAATTACTCTTGAAATTTCAAGAAAAAAATCTTGAAATTTTTAACAAGCACTCATTCATATGAAACTTTTATGTATTTAGTTATTGAAAAATCAGTTGAATTCTGGAGTATTCAATGGAATTGTAATTTTCAGGTCTACATGATGATGAAAATTATTAAACAATTTGAAACATCAAACAATTTCCCCGAATTTTCAATCCACTGAAATTTCAGTTGGATGTGCCGTTCAATTTCCGCAATGAATTTGAAAATTCTAGATGTCATTGAAATATCAATGACAATTTCCTCAATTCTGATTTTGACCAATCAGAGTGCTGTATTCGGAGTCACGTGACGCGTTTCACACTGATAATTTCCCCGGCTGCAGGGAAATTATCAGACTGATAATTTCCCTGTAGCCTGTCAATTGTTTTCTACGAATTTGAAAGATATTCCTCACATTTCGGTGAAATGTGTCCCGTAACCCCGAACACTGCACCCGGATCGGCCAAAATCAGAATTGAAGAAATTGTCCTCCGAATACCCCTCGACCTTCAAAATTCATCGGATATTTCCCTCAAGTTTTCCTGCATATCAACGATCGGGATCAGTTTGCAGTAAAATCCCTCGCGCTACGCGCTCGGGATTTTAATCTGCATCTGCAATTGATCCCTCTCGTTGCTATGCAACAAAACATTCGGGAAATATCCGATAATTTTGAAGTCCTTGGAGTATTATAGCTGATAATCCTCCATGAAAACCCCGAACCATCCTGAATTTTCAACCTGAACGAGAGATTTCAGGAAGGTTTTGATCTCAAATTGTTTTCAAATTGACACAATTGAGAATTCAAGTGCAAGTATTACTCAATTTTCAAAAAATTTCTATCAGTGTAGTCAAAAAGATATCGTCCACTACTCATTGAACCAAAACAAATTCCCGAAACATCGACACGTTCCGTTCCCACATATTCCTGCATTTCGAGTCCAGAGAAATGGGAAGTACCTCTTTGTCTCATTCTTATTGTCCGCGTGGGTGAAGACGTGAGAGGAGAGCCATAGCAACGGTGCATACATGCAGAAATGTCGGGTATATAATAGGAAAACAGAACAAGGAGTGAGAGAGAGAGAGAGAGAGATGGGGCCCAAGGAAAGAAGAGTGTGAATGTCGGTGTGAGTGTTGGGTGAAGCTGTCGGTTGCGCTTGGTCGGCTGTGGTTATGTGGAGCGCTGCCGCCACCGTCGCCACAGCCGGTTTGCGTGTACATTCGTGTACG